CAAGAAACGTTTCCTGAAACATCCGACACGTTGCTGAATCCGAAAACAGTCGACAGTTAGGTGGCTCAAACGCCTTCTTAGTGCGCAAAGACAAAATCAGAAAACACAGCTGCGTAGTAAGATAGTTATTCGCGTAAGCGGCAAGTACCACTGTAGACCAAAGAGGGAGTGCAAAGCACTCGAAGTCACATGAACACAGAATCAAAGTACCAATTAGGGATTATGTCAGACGGCCAATAGCCGTAGTACACACACACACACACACACACACGAACGCAGATACGCAATGAGTGTTTAGAGAGGCGTGTCAATCGTTCACACAGAATAATAATAATAAATAATGTGTTAGCTGGACGCCGTAACGGTGTTTCGCTGCCGTGCGACCACTACCAGTCGCACGCAGACTGAATATCCCGCGGGGACGCCCACTCCTACGCGAATTCGAACGCGCGTCACATGATTACGAGACAAGCGCGTTACTTTAAGGCAACCGGCCGCACAGAGGTGAGTAGTAATCGAGGTTGTTCATCCACCCTCCGTTAGGTACTACAATCTGGTTAAAAAGAGGGGGGTCACTGGCTCTATAGCCGGAAACATTGGTTTTGTCACATAGTTGCATGATCTAAGGAGGTATTTGATGCATAAAAAGGCCAGGCTCGAACTCCCTAAGCTCTAAGAAGCTGCACTGATTGTCCGCGGCTGTCTATTAAACCCACTTGCACAGCAAGCGAGGCTCATTCACATTTGCCCTCAGTAGGAAGGCATGCGACAGTGTACAAGCCCGTAAGCCGCTCCTATGAAGACATCTCAATCTCAGCCTCGTCCTGCACCACTACCCCACTACCCATATCATCATCATTAAGAGAAAAAATCAGCCGTTTGAACTGATGCTTCGCTGCCACACAACTACGATGACCTATGAAACAAAGAATAAGAAGGGGGAGAGAAGGGGGGACCTACCTGAAAACCTTAATGCCCTAACCAACCTTTAAGGATCAAGGCCTACACCTTGTGTAGACAACATACCGTCACAAAAAGCTGGCTATCGTGCAAAGATAAGGCGACATCGGCGAAACAGCTTCCTTGCGGTTTTCACTGCCCCGCGTCATAATACGCCACTAACCCGCAGATAACTCAGCACCAAACACACTGTAAACAGGCAATCCGAGTAGGATACGGCAGCAGACGCGCCACTGGTGTCGGTTGCGAGCCATGCCCTGGACATTCTCGAGCAAAGTACAAGGCGGGTCACTTGGCCACAAGTCTGGAAAACGAGATGGACCAACGGCACCCAGTTTGGACGTCAGTGACTTCGTTTCCCGCTGTCAAGTCAACTTCTGTCCACCTCGAGCCTTGCGCCACCCTACACCTATCAGACTAAACAAGGCCCTCCAAGGTAAGCAGTGATCAGGCATACATGCCCGAGCCAATGCAACTTATTCAGTGCTATCTGTTATTCTAGGGAACTAGCATGATTTCACTACTTAGTACTCGTCTACGCACATCATTGTTGCGGACACGCTGGTGCCGTCCGACACCAGCAATGTTTCGCAGACGACGATGATCAAAGACTTTAAGGCGCCTCGGATCTTCAGACCGAAGGGGTCAAGTTTCACTAGGATAGAGCAGAATGGCCCTCACTGTGGCCTTGTATACACGGCCCTTCAGACGGAGGGAAATTCCCATCTGTCCCCAAAGATGCCGCAGGTTCAAGAAGGTAGCTCTGGCCTTTGCAATATGTAAGCTGACGTCAGTTTCTATGCGTCTATCGTCGCTGATGCAGCTGCTAAGATAAGTGGATTGGTCAACCACCTCGACTTCCTCGTTAGCAAGGATCAAGGGGCCATAAAGTGGCTGGTCGTCCTGTAGCAACACTGCACTTTGAAGGTGCGAAGTACATACCAAATAATGGGGCCATAACTTAACCAGGCTATTCAGGGTTGATTGTGCTGCCGCGACATCGTCGAAAAACAAGACGATATCGACCGCATAATCAAGATCAGCTAATCTTTCACCAGACAGAACCTAAATGCCTGCATCGTGAGGTTCCATGATAGGATTTACGACGAAATGTAACAAAAACGTGGAAATCGGACAACCCTGAAGAACGTCACTTGTGGTCGGAAAGCTATCCGACAGGCCACCGTAGCCCGTGACGCGCCCTGTAGTGTTCGAGTATAGAGCACGTACAATATTCACACATTTCGTGGGAACAAGTTCCGCGCAAGTATTTCAAAAGGAATGGACCGATCGACTGAATCGCATCCTTCGATCTTCTAATGGGGGTTGAAATCATGATTGCTAGAGGCTGACGCCAACTAGCCAGCAGCTTGAACCGCTGGGCAATAAGGTATAACATGACCTGTCTTCCACTACCACCCAGCTCCCTACCAGTGCAGTCGCTAGTGGCTAGTCTCCGAGGTCATGACTTCGTTTCGCCCTACTGGGTTTTGTCAGTGATGCACATTTCCTCGGTCCCCTACAGGGAACAGAAACCGTAGCCGCTAGCAAGTTGCGCCAACTAGCCAACAGCATATGCCTTTCCGGATTGATGCTTAGATTGTCGCGCTTTGAGCTGCTTGGACAAGCTAGTTAAATTTCACATTAAAAATCATCCTACTCATCAGTAATATTGGAAACGTTTTCTGCATTTGTCTGATGATATGCGCTTTTCAGACTTTACTTGCTTTTCACTAAGTAGTGGGTGATTATGTCAATAAGGGCATCAATTTGGACAGGGAGTACGAGCTTGGATAGTTGTACTGGCTGTAATCTGCAAACATGCGGCGTTTATGGCTTTCGTTTGTAGTTATCAAGTCGGCTTTAAGAAGCCTTACTATTTCCACGTGTAGGAATTGCTGATCTGATCGACTTCGTGGCGAAAGGTTTGAAGGCGAAATTAAAATTGTCATGTGCGTGATTAAATTGAGGTCTAGAAACACGGATTCATATCTTGTCGCTCTGCTTTTGGTATCCAGTTTCCCAAACAGGACGGGAAATGCCACATCAGCGGATAACAACACACACAAGGAGAGGATTGGTTGCTCATCAGAGGATAGAATTTCGACCGATTTATTAAGCTTGAGAAAATCGTATCCTAGAATTACATCTGAACGTGGATTCGAGAGTATAAGCATTTTGATATTGATCTACTGGTGGCATTTAAACTGAACAATATACATTGGCCATTTGTGGAACTTGTCAAACGGGTCCTGGTCATCATATTTTTACAGTGCTATCCGTGAATATTCTAGTTGGAGTGTTTACTAACGGAGACAGCAGTGCAACTCTTGGAGCCTTCTATAGCAACTAGCCTTCCCAGATGGATTTTGTAGAGGCTGTTTTTCTCAGTTGCTAGTACAACGACCCACTAATAACTATGCAGGAAAGCCTTTTGGTGACTTTTCATCCGTGTGAAGGCCGACAACCGATCTATCGAAACATGACACGTTCAGTGCGACTGTGGTGTCTGGCTCACGTACAGTTCTCGCAGCCGAACAGCTTGCGGTGCGTTGGTCTTGCCCTGAGGTCGAGGCATGACGAATTCATTGCGGCTGTGGTGTCTGCTAATGTTCCCTTCTCACAACCGAACGGCTCGGTGTGCTCTGCAATCCTAAGCACACGTGGCGTCTGTGTCCCATCTCGCACCCGCCGGCAAAGCAATTTACGCCATTGGACAATTAGCAATTCAGCGTACCGGTGTACGTAAGCATCTGAGTGCAGCCGCTCCTAGGCTCCAGACCAGATTAATAAAAAACACCCTGTACGTGGCGATGCCCCAACATCTAACGCACGGAAAAGCGGTGATAAAGACAGGTCATATTTAAATGGGACCCGGCTTGCTATTATTGAATCGGATATTCACAGGCATTAACTAGTTTACGAAGAGCAACAGAGTTAAGTAACTCTGAGTCCATGTTGGAAGCGTTCCGAAACTGCACGCTCGAAAATCAAGACTTTAACCGAGCCAGTTGGAACAGCAGCTACCCGCCCCCAGTTCCACAAATAGATTGTGCTAACCGTCCACAAAAACCATTCTTTCGAATTTGAAGAAGGCCAAAGCAAGTCCATCTTGTCCGTCGTCCTTACACAATTTCAGGTCCGATCTCATTAACGACTTCTGCGCACCGAAACCGAAGGCACGGTTCAGTGAGCAGGTAATCACTGGTGGCATAGAGGATGGTAGTGCCGACAGATTAAAGTGCATTTCTTTGGTCAGGCTAAAAGAATTCAAACAGAAGCGAATGAACTGTGGTTTTCCGCTTCATAAGACGTGGGTTTGTCGATGGGATCGAAGTGATGCTTTGAGATTGTTTGAATCGATGTTGCAAGAGAGACAACTGTTAGATGGCCAAAAAGTTAAAGAGATTAGAGTAAAGTTGGAACGGGACGATAAGGAACAGAAAGCGTAAGAGTAAATAAATAATGCCAGTTGTACGTTGTAATGGCGCTTCGTTGCCGCGCGACCACCACCAGTCGCGCGCGGGCTGAGTATACCGCAAGGACGCCCACCCCTACGCTGATCCGAACCGAAGACCTTACGGCTGCAAACCAAACGCCGCGTAGGTGTGGAATAAGAAAACGGGAAGGCCTGAGTAGGAGTACCCACAACCCTACGTTCGATGCAGCAGATAGAGTACCGTTGATTATTCTCTGCGATAGCCAGAGAATCAAGGAATCACTGTATAGCGTGAGAAGTATACTGTCAGATTTACACCGTCTAAGCGGTAGAGTGATGCGAATTATCAACCTTTGGTCCAATCTAACTACGGAACAGCGAGGCATAGGTAATGTGTGCTTCCAATAAGTGGGATCTCATGTTTGTTTGGGCTGTACCAATTGACCGATCTGATATGAGTAAAGTGCAAAAAGTATTGCTTGATGGGTCGTCGAGGCACACAAGCTATCAGACCATGTTAAGGTTCTGCCTCATGGCGACGACAATCTTCAAACTGCGAATCTATTCTGTGTAAAAAGGTCTGATCGATTTTCCAGGTTATATTTGATTAAATAGCATTATTCTTTCTCTGGCTTGGATATGATGGACCGCGTACCCCGAATACGACCTGTCCTTCGAGCAGCAATCAGACCGACCTTGCGTCCATGGGAAGCGTCTCTTCGAATTGTTGAAGGCTTGCCGATGTGTTGGTGGTTGCCACCGCCATGCGGATGTTCGACAGGCTATGGGTAGAGAAAAAAGAAAAACGGTTTCAAGTTCTGATGAAAAAGGATGGGGCGTTTAGCAGCAAGGAAATAGGAGATCTTAAAATATGTAGCTGCTCAAAACATTAGGTAAACTAGTAGGCGACAAGTTTATGAAATCGCGTGTAAAGCACACACAGTTAAAAACACCACAACGTCCACTTGCTACAGGAAATACGAAAGCTGAGTTGGTGAGACGACAGAAATGAAACAAAAACCCGAAACGAAAATGCACAACACTATGGTTTAGTTTGACGGAAAACCCGATTTTCATGTGAGTAAGCGCCAGTATCAGACAGATAGAATAAAAACACACTGGAACACAGTAACAAAAATATGATAAGCATACAACACAAGACGTAGTTAATGGTGTGCAAACAGCGGAAGACTTGGGGGTATCGATAATACAACCAGCGCAATTAGCGCCGGATGCATGCATATGGAGGAAAGCTGTTGGACAGAAAGTCCAAATTGAGGGGCGGCAAAGCCTAGTGAACTGAGTTGCCATGACCGGCGTCGGTAAAACAATAATCAAAAGAATGGGATGGATAAAATACGAAAGGGTGGACCCGAAAGCAACGCATGAAAAGAGTAATGGGCAGGCTGAGAGATCAAACGAGAAACAAAGCGACGAATGTACGACAAGTCTTTTTGTTATACCACCAATCGACAAAAATATACTAGTATAGTCGGATCAGAATGAACTGTGCCGTTCTGTCATCGATAGCTCAAGCGAAGTCTGTGCAACGATCGCGGAGCATGATGGTCCCATTGAGAATGAGTACCAATACCCTTCCTAATAACACTTGAAAGCCCTTCTGGTTTATGCCGGTCCGTAGCCATAAGGATAACAAGCTTTCCTAGGGACTGGGCGATCTTCCCAGTGTCCTTAGACCACGTGACTGGTGGTGGTTGCGCAGCAGCTAAGCGTGTGCTTGGATTCAAGAGCGCGATCGATGCATTCTATTCGAAATGTCTGTGCGGAAAGGTGCTCCCATGAAATATGTGAACAAGTTACGTGACGCGTCAGGATCTAAGATGATCTGCCGGATATGCTCTTGACAACAAATGGCATTCATCAGGGTCGTCCAATTTCCCCATTTCTGTTCGACGTGGACGCTATCATGGATTACTCCCTTGCGAAGCCACACGTTGCAGGCGCTGACTGGTGAAAAGCTAGTTGATTTGATTATGCGGACGATGTTGTCTTGAGTTAATGATGTCAGGGTGGCCCAGCTAACCCTGAATTAACTTGCTATAGTGGTTCTATTACTTGGCATGGGCTTCGCACCATAAAGTACAAGGTATTGTTACAATACCACCAGCTGCTTGATGTCTCCTCGACTCTTGATAAGGAGGAACTCGAGGTGGTTCACTTACCTTGGCAGCTGCATCAGCAACAAATGGTGTATAAGCAGGTATTGCAAAAGCTAGAACTTCCTTCTTGGAACTGTGAAGTCAGGTGAGGGTTTTCTCCAGTCTGAAAGGCCGTGTTTACAAGATGACAGTGGGGGACGTCCAACTCTATGGGAAAAATGTGGCCACTTCGATCTGAGGCGCCGTCAAGTCTATGACCATCGCAGTCTGCGGACCAATGCTGGTGTCGTATGTCAACAGCGTGTAAGCAACGATCATGTGCGTAAGCGAGTACTAAGCAGTGATAATGAGGCTAGTTCTTTAGAACAGATAGCATTGAATAAGTTGCGTTGGTTTGGGCATATATTACATATGCCAGATCACCGCTTACCGAGGCGGGCTTTGTTTTGTTTGCCAGATGTAGTGTAGCGCTAGTATCGAGGTGAGTGAAAGTTAACTTGGCAGAGGGAAATGAAGTCACAGACGAACAAACTCCGCGCCATTGATCCGTCTCGCCTTTCAAGCTGTTATGGTCACCAAGATCGCCTCGGCCGCACCGATTGGCTGTTCACTGGAACCTGCTCGTTCCCAATTGACCGAACAAAGAGGCAAGATCGTAAACACAGTGCAATGGCCGCCAGACACGAGATGATTACAGAGCGCAAAGTACCGGTGTTCAGTTGTTCATAACGACTTTTCTGAACGTTCTCTGTTCGCTTCTCTTTTTATTTACCAATAATAGTATTAGATTTTGGTAAAACATTATATTGAGTAACCAAGGTGATTAGCTTGCTCGAAGTCTAGAAAAAGGTTGGACTTTGATCCTCTTTGGGTTCACTGATCGATTCGTTAATAGGTGCCGCTCCTAACACCGGCTGGGGTCCACGTGGCCCACCTTGTGCTTGCCCCGAGACCTTACGGAACATGGCCCGCAATCAGCATCAGTGGCGCGTCTGCTATCGTCTCTTAGTGATACTGTCTGCTTAAAGTGTTGGATGCTGTTAACATTAGAAGCCGCAAGGAATCGGTCTCGCCGAGGCCGTCTTAACTTTGCAGGATAGCTAGGTGTTTGTGATGGTACACTGTTGACGAGGTGTAAGCACCATCATCAACAGCAGTACATCAGCCATTTGAACTGATGCTTCGCTGCCATACAACCATGAGGATCTATGAAATAAAGAATAAGAAGAGGGAGAGAAGGGGGACTTACCTAAAAACCTTAACGCACTAAGCAAACATTCAGGGTCAAGACGCCTACACCGTGTGTAGACAACACACCGTCACGAGGTGTAAACGCTCGGTCCCCTTTCGCTCATATTATTCTTCGTCCCGTAGGTCATCGTACTTGTGCGACAGCAAACCATCCATCTACAGGGCTGATGTAATACTGTTGATGATGATGAACCATGATCCGGGCACCGGTTGTCAAGACGCACGTCGGAAGAATAAAAGCCAAGGGTAGGAAAATGAGGTTGAACGCAAACAGAAGAAAAAAGGAATCAACAAAGTGCGCTAAACTACTCGGGGTGGGGGGAATCAACAGTTGGATGCAATAAATCGCATGCAGGAACGCCAATGACTGCGTCACGTCAAATGGTCCCCGACCAGTGGTGTGGACTATCCAATTCAAGAGGACACGTGCCAGCCTGATCAAGTCTCAGTCGATATGTTCATACCCATATGCCAATTGACGGGCCACCTTGCGGTTTCACCAGGTTGGTGTGACGACAACAAATAATACACGCTGAGGAAGCCGATCGACGGGCATACGTAGGACATGAGTTAGCCAAAGGAAGCGGTTGAGCCTAATCAAACATTTGAGTGAGGCATCGAAGGGCTTCTTACCGAAACCAATAGGCGGATTTTAGCACTGATCACCGTGTTTCTGCAAGATGTGAGCAATAATCCGAAGGCAGTAATGATTAAACACAGCTAGGTGCTTGGCTTCACTGCGATCTGGCCAATTCAATGATCCATACAGTAACACCGGTCATTTCGCAATGTCAAACACCGGCCGTCTCCATAAATGATTGAGCATCCGAGAAGCCACACGGGCATTGCTGAGACGCGAAGTGACTTCCTCAGTAATATGATTGTCAGAGGTGGCACAGCAGTATTAGAAAAGCTGCTGGGTCAGACATAAGTGCTGTCGTCCGCATACTCAAGGTTTGTCAGTTGGTCACCTTGCAGAACTTTAACTCCGGAAGTCACGGCCATTTTTATCACAAAGTTGGGGAAGAAAGGAGAAATACGACAAACCTAACAAACCCGACGTTGTGAGGACACCTTTCCTTAGACATAGCCTACAACCGGAGTCACGGTAGAAAGACTTCAGGATGGAAAGCAATCGATTTTAAGAGAATTCTATTTATAGATAGGCAGTGCTACTAGCTGGTGCGCTCAACAGAGTCAAAGGCGGCTATCCGGCCAAGGAAAATCACCACAGTCAGTTGTCAGTATGTGTGACTAATCCTGATGAATACCAAAGGTGGTTGATGCAAGTATGAACTGGGCGGAAGCGTCTGGCTTTCAATGATTCGGCTCTCACCAGGACCAGTTCATCGTCTAATAATGATATCCGTGAGAAATTTGCAGTCAATAGAAAGGCTACTGCCAAGATGATTTGCGTAGAAAGTATGGTGACCTATACTGAAGATGGGCACAACAGTCACCTGTCTAAAGACACCTCTCCAGTGTTCCAAATCTTGTTAGATAGAGAAACAAGTCCAGGCAACAAAGATTCAACAACAACAACAACAACAACGACAACAACAACAACAGTAATCAGCCATTTGAACTGATACTTCGCTGCCACACAACTACGATGACCTATGAAACAAAGAATAAGAAGGGGGAGAGAAGGGGGGACCTACCTGAAAACCTTAATGCCCTAACCAACCTTTAAGGATCAAGGCCTACACCTTGTGTAGACAACGTACCGTCACAAAAAGCTGGCTATCGTGCAAAGATAAGGCGACATCGGCGAAACAGCTTCCTTGCGGTTTTCACTGCCCCGCGTCATAATACGCCACTAACCCGCAGATAACTCAGTACCAAACACACTGTAAACAGGCAATCCGAGTAGGATACGGCAGCAGACGCGCCACTGGTGTCGGTTGCGAGCCATGTCCTGGACATTCTCGAGCAAAGTACAAGGCGAGTCACTTGGCCACCAGTCTGGAAAACGAGATGGACCAACGGCACCCAGTTTGGACGTCAGTGACTTCGTTTCCCGCTGTCAAGTCAACTTCTGTCCACCTCGAGCCTTGCGCCACCCTACACCTATCAGACTAAACAAGGCCCTCCAAGGTAAGCAGTGATCAGGCATACATGCCCGAGCCAATGCAACTTATTCAGTGCTATCTGTTATTCTAGGGAACTAGCATGATTTCACTACTTAGTACTCGCCTACGCACATTATTGTTGCGGACACGCTGGTGCCGTCCGACACCAGCAATGTTTCGCAGACGACGATAATCAAAGACTTTAAGGCGCCTCGGATCTTCAGACCGAAGGGGCCAAGTCTCACTAGAATAAAGCAGAATGGCCCTCACTGTGGCCTTGTATACACGGCCCTTCAGACGTAGGGAAAGTCATACCATCTTTTAGCAAAGATGGAGGAA